AACAGAACCCGAAAGTTGCCGTTACCTTCAGTAAAGGAAGATGAACCCGTCGGCGCCAAATCCCATTGTGTCTACCAATTCGTGTGTGACTGCGGTATCAGTTACATCGGCAGGACCGAACGGGTTTTAGATTCCCGAGTGAAGGAACACCTACCAAACTGGGTTCAGCGTGAAGTTACCCAATCCACCTCCGATGATACGTGTTCGCGTAAGCCGCCAGCGTCCTCCATAGGCAGGCACATCTTGGCGACTCGTCACCAGGTCAATCCCTTATCAGCTTTCCGGATCTTGTTACGTCATACTAATGCACGCCTTTTACGATTTGCCGAGGCCGTCGCGATAAGCCGAATTAGACCAGCTTTGTGTGTCCAAAAGCAATTAGTTGTCAACCTGCGGTTGCCGTGGACGTAATCTGATAACAATGATCACAAAAATAAATTTGATTGGTTTGCCTGTGCCCTGTAAGACATATAAAAGAATTTCCCTGTTATTGTATTGGTACTGACGAGATAATACGAAATGCTAGCATCTGCCAGTATTCGTCTTCTCATTTCATCCATAAAACCAACACTCGCTAGACAAAACCATGCTGCGTTAACTCTCGTGTGCACCAATGTTTCTGAATCCAAATGTAGTACAATAAAAGGCAAGTTGCAAGACGACCTCAACCAGAGGAGTTCCATCTGCGATGCGATTGGTGTTCGGGTTGAGCCTGCAATGCTGCAACGCGTAGCGCGTCACCCGACCTCAGTGCACTCTGGTGAACCACGATTTCCTCGAGTAACACTAGACTCAGCAGATGAGACAGAGGCTGTCCTGCTTTCAGCCGTTCGTCTTCGCAACTTACCGATCGGAGTGCGCATATTACCTGATTCACCTTGGAAAGATCGCCCGAAAGAAGCAGTTGACCAACACGGCATTCCTAATAGGGATAGCAAGAAAACAATATTTGTTCATGGTGTTTCCGACCTTCTGCATTCTTCTGATCACGATGCGCAAACACTTGACCGAGAGCAGTGGTGCTACATCCGCGAAGCACTGTTTGTCGACCGTGTTATTGCCAAATCCTTGACAAGAGTTCCGTCATCACCTAACTAGAAGAGCTGCGGTCCAAGATTAATGAAAGTAATATTACACTCCGAGGGAATGAAGCAAGTTCTACTGGAAAGCTGGTTAAAATTTCGAGCTAGATTGCCAACCGAGAGCCGGCTAAAGGCAGCAAGCGAACGGCCAAAGGTCGGAAGCAATTCGACGGAACTTGCAAACGCTGCAAATTCTTTATCTGCACAGTCCTGCGGAGAGACCGACACAACAGCGCCCACGGTACACAACAGGACAGAGAACAGCACGAGTGAAACGTTTGGTCAGGAACACTCAACAATGGCATGCAACTTGACTGAACTTCATAAACCGTCGTCATACAGTATACACGTTAGCTCGAGGTAGGGAATACCTCGGCTACTTGCCGCAATACACAGAAAAATGGGGAAAAAACAACTGTTGCAAACCGGCTGAGCTACCGGTAACGGACGGGCATCGTTCCGGTAAGCTACCAGCCGGCTACAGTGCATCAAACAATTACTATGCAAAATTATATAAGGCTAAATAATGAGATCGTGGTTGGAGGCGGAGGCTGAGGGATAGGGTGGGACAAAGAAACTCACAGCACGAACGCCACTGAGGGCGGCTCCTGGCCATATCAACAAGTGTGTCCAACCAAAAGTCTTCATCGTCTTTAGGACCCCAAATTCATAAACCAAAAAACGATTAATGGCCGGTCACCTAACGGCCGGCTTAAAAACTAACACAAAGTTGACATCCGTCAGCGCACTCCTGACAACAAAAGCCCTATCTTGCATGTACTCAAACGCCCAAGGCCTTCTAAGCAAGTTGGCCGAACATAGAGAACTGCATGCCTCACAATCGCGAGACCTCGTCACGATTACAGATACATGGTTAAAACCTGAGATAACCGATTCTGAGGTCAATTTACCCGGTATGTCGTTGCTTCGGACCGATAGAACCGGAAGGGGTGGCGGTGTCATACTTTACTATAATACAAACCTCCGAAGTGAAGTTATCGAACACCCGGAAATCCGAGCTCCTGATTCGCTTTAGTGCTGCCTATTGTTGCAAGACAAGGACACATGTCTACTAGCCGTAATTTACCACCCACCAAACTCAAGGTCGGAAATGGACGCCAAACTGACACCCGTCTTTCAGTTTGCTTTGAACAAGTCCTACACCCACATTCTTATCACTGGAGACTTTAACGTGCACGACATAGAAACGCCAGCAACTGACGGTACGCAGTTTAAAGCCTGCTTGCAAGAGCTAATTGCTAGCCACCCTCTGTACAACCACGTAACCTCTCCCACCAGATTTCGAACTGCTAACAAGCCGTCGATACTAGATCTTGTGTTAACTAACGAAGAACTCATGGCTGACGGGATAGTTACAAGTACACCACTGGGTCGTAGTTCTCACCTTACTCTACTCTTTGACTATATATGCCATGCGGAGTACCCTGAAAAGGAGGTTGATAAAGTACATACTGTCACGCACTACAAGATGTTATCTAAGCTTGTTAAGGATACATCTTGGACTTTCTTAACCGAATGCCCTCAGATGTTGCCTGGAAAACCTTTACAAGGACCTTTAGCACAATGGTAGCGCACGCATAGGAACAAAGCCCTTTCAGCCCAAAACAAGCATAAGTCATTTCTGAGGAGCAGAACGCATCAATGCATGTCCCGGAGGGATTTGGTATGCCGAGCCCACAAAGACTGCTCAAATACCGAAACGTGGAAGTGATCCTCGAAGACAATGTCACGCATAAGCAGGAGTTAATGAAGCGATTGTGCACGAACCGCAAACTTCAGTACGGGCACATTAACGGCCTTCGAAAGGTGAAGCGAGTGATTCAAGCACTAGTCACAACTGATAGGTGAACGCAATCAGCAATGGAAACAGCTGGTCTCCTACGGCTTCATTACTCCCAAACTTTCCAACAGGTAACGAGCCCAAACCTTTTCCTTTCTATTACTCTACCATCTGGTTTAGACAACATCGCCTTCACTGCGAAAGCTGTGTTGAAGAAGTTGTTACCCTAAGGCATCCACAGTTCTCCTGGAGTCGATCAAAGGCACTGTAGGCGGTAGATAGTGATCTAGCAGAACCAGTGGCTGTTTTCTATCAGCGATGTTTAGAAGAGAACCGTATTCCACCAGTATGGAAGCGAGGGGTCATCACTCCTATCCATAAAGGAGGTAGCCGCACTGATCCTGCCAACTACCGTCAAATAACACTACTTCCCGTACTATCCAAAGTGATGGAATCAATCATCGCAGATGTGCTGATGGAATACCTGGAAAGCCACAATTTAATAGCTCCAGAGCAACATGGCTTTTGTCAAAAGCATTCGTGTAATACTAACCTATTAATTGCACGTAATAGCTGGACTGAAGCTGTTGATGATGGAGTTGGAGTCGATGTCATTTACCTGGACTTTTCCAAAGCGTTTGATCGCTTAGACCATTGCACTCTCCTTCAGAAGCTTCGGAACTACGGCATTGGCGATCCAATCCTGAGTTGGGTTAGTAATTTTCTACACGAACGGCGGCTAGAGGCGAGAGTCGGAGAATCATTGTCTGATACAATCGACGTGGCGTGTAGAGTACCACAAGGCTCGGTTTTTGGACCTCGTCTATTCTTGGTGTTCATTAACGATTTGGCGAGATCAGTTGCTTCCAATTTCCTATTTTTCGCTGACGATATCAAGATATGGCATAGGATCAGATGATCGAACGCCCACGAACGGCTCCAGTGCGATCTTAACACAGTGTCGAACTTGTCAATTCAAAACGCCCTACCACTCAACGTAGACAAATGTCGCGTTGTACAATTACGCCATAGACATAACTGTACATGTTTGCTTGTGACAAACGCATTGCAGACAAGCTCCCAGGAGCGTGACCTTGGTGGGATCGTACAGAGCGATCTCAACTGTTCAAAACAGGCTGAGATAGCTGCAACAAGAGGCAACCAGCACGTCAGCATGCTGCGAAGGGAATTTGGGAGTTTTGACCCATCAATCTTCCCAATTATGCACAATTCCTACGTGCGCCCGCAGTTTGAGTGCGCTAGCCAAGCCTGGTAACCTTGGTTGAAGCGCGACCTAGAGGCGTTAGAGGCACCAGAACGAAGAACAACAAAGAATGTAAAGGGCCTGCGTTATCACTCTTACCACCGAAGACTGAAGTTTCTAGGTGTTTTCAGCGGACGCTATCGAAGGCTGCGCGGCGATCTCATATTAGCGTATCAGGTATTGAATGACCCGAACCACGTATGCGGTCATTTGCTGAAACTTAGCCGCCACACGCAGCTCAGGGGTCACTGCTTCAAATTGAAGGAACAGTATAGTCGTCTAGAGTGTCGATGGAATTACTTTTCACTTAGGGTTTGCCAACCCTGGAACGCACTCCCAGACCCAGTTGTATCCTCTCCTACATTTGACGTTTTCAAAAAACGACTAGATTTTGCTCTTAGCTCCCAGTATTTTGCTACCGAAACTTCTCTATTGTGGATTACGTCAAGCATGCTTTTCAACAGGATTTATGTATCAATGGACCCAAGTGAGCGACCATATTTTACTTTCCTCACGCTTTACATCAGTGATCACTGCACCCGTGTTTTTCTGGACGTTTACGCACGATAACTTTTAGTTTTACACTGGTGTAACTTATCGAAATATTCATCTAAAGGCAGACGTTCGGTAGATGACTCGAATATATTTTGATTTCATCATATTCACCTCAACCATCCTACGGGACGTGTCAAGCACTTGCTTTTATCCCGTGATAAATCTTTGTTCCTTGTTCATTTCTGCATGTCAGTAGGATGGCTTATTGAGGCAAACCGGATTGGTTATGGCTGGTCCACGTGTTCAGGAGAGGCATCCAAATTAGCTGAACTTTCCAGCCTTATGATAACCTAATGTTTCAGATGTTCATGAGGTTAACGTACTCAACACTGAGTGCGCACCACGCATCTAACTCATATGCCACACCCGTCAATGTTGCCATGCTTAAACGCGATTTTACTCCACCGTGGGAATGTGCACAATAAGACTCACTCACATACATTCCCCAGCAGTTTGTTCTCAAAATTTGCTTGTTTTCATCTAGATCCAGGATTTGGAATAATTGAAGACCGTAGGCGACCACGACTTGAATCTTGCTGTCATTCACCGGTCTGCCGATCACCCCGTATTGTTCGTATCGGTTGAGTAGCATGCGAATGAGGGACTTCTCCACCGACTTCGTCTTCGTCTCTGAGAGCACAAAGGAAAAGGACAATTGTTAACTTGACCAAAACACTACTCCCATCCAATTTGAGTTACTTTGCGAGCCCACCCTAAATGGTAACCGATATGTACTGCGAAGCACCAGAGATTGGAGATTTTATGTCCTTGTTGAAGGATAGAGAAAATTCCGATATTCTTACGCAAATGTTCATAGCGTTTGTTTTAACGTATCAGTGCTTTAGACCACTTAACCGTTTTTTGTCATTCTGTGTGTATCCGTTTGGTTCTCAGTGTGATCAACGCTTACTGGCTTTGTTCAATGGTGTTTGTAGCTCTCTGATTGGTAAGTCGAATCAGCTTATGTACCCAAAAGCGTGCATTTTCAGCATTTTACATTATCAACTGTAAATTTACAAGAGGGTTACCAGTAAAATGCAAAGTTTACAAATGGATATAAAAATGAGGATGCACTGTCATAGATCAATCAAGCAACGATCCCAAAAAGTTGGACTAAATCTTCGGGATTTGTATCCATTGAAAACGAAAAAGGTTCGTAAAAATGTTTCTTCAGAATTCGTTTCAACTGACGTAGAATTTTGTGTCCAGCAACAATATATCGGGGATCGTACGCGATATATTGTGTGTATATGCAATGGTGGATAGAGTAAAGGGTGGCAGTGACCTTGGAAGTTAATTTAACAAAAAACCTGTCGGTGTAATGTTGCAAACTCGCGAGCAAACTGACAGTGATTCGAATAATTAAGTGAAGTACTTCACAGCCAACTTCCAACTCACACAGTCATCCATATGCCCGGAAAAGTACTAGACTGCAAGTTCAGCCAGTTGAGCGTTGTCAGCAGTGCGCATCCATCGGATCAATCAGGATTCAAACGCATGACCAGCAGCGGGTTGAACCACCAGTCAGCAGCCTATGCCACTGGGCCACGAGGCACAGCTACGGACCGTCGTAAGTTACAAGCTAACTGCGATATAGCGTGTCGTGTCCTCCTGGCTGGCTGCGGAAAACCTCAATTAATCATACCAAAATCATCTACTCATGAGTACATCATAATATATCCGCCCTAACAGTTTCTAAATACTATGTCGCACATAGCTACTGTTAGTGGACGCCGTGTATTTCGGAGCCAACCCCGTGCTCTGCAATGTTGGTAACTTGCGTAGCAGTGGAAAAGATAAAACACAAAGGAAAACCCATTATTTTAACAACTGATCGATTATCTTCGATCATGAATTGATGGCGAAGATTCCGGAACCTTCCATTCCTTCACGTGATCGCCACCATACGGAGTTTTGGCAGGGAGGCTGCTAATTTAACCAGTTGACCTTCGTTTTCGAGAAGCCGAGGATCCTCTATGTAGTTGGCGTAGGTCTGGCGAAGTTGTATAGCGTTTTGGAAGCATTTTTGGCTACGTTTGTCAGGGGTTTTGTTAGCACGTTTTTCGTGGTTCAGATAGTTGGACTTTTGCTCTTTCTTCGACTGGGCTAGAAATTTTGCGGAGAAATTCTTGGGCGTTTAATTCGGAATAGCGAGAAAACGTGAAGACCTAACAATGGCAACGGACAAGCACGAAAAGGTTACAGACTTTTCCGCCGAACCTTTTCGAAAGCTGCTTCCTCAGCAACCACAAATAAAACTGCTTGAAAGTTTGACGCAGTGCTTGAGCATACACTCAAACGGAGCAGGTACACAGGACAATCAGGCTGTTTCACTTGCTCTTCTTACGAATGCAATCAATGAATTACATTGTGGCGCTGATTCCGAAAGCACTTTCGTGGCGTGGTTCAAACCGTGGGGTGACATGTTCCGGACGGATTTCAGCCGTCAAAATGATTCATGGAAATTGCTTCTTTTGCTCCGTAATCTCGATACTAATGAACATTCAAGATTCATTGACCACATCCTGCTCAAAAAGCCGAAGGACATCATATTCAACGAAGCCGTGGCAACACTCAAAGAAATTTTCAGTAAGTCGACGTCTTTGTTTGGCATTCGCTACCAATATCGAAAAATTGTTAAGCTGGATACGGACGATTATGGGGCGCTAGCAGACATGGTTAACCGTGAATGTGAACGTTTCAAGTTACGCGGTTTGACGGATGACCAGTTTAAGTGTCTCATATTTGTCAGTGCTTAACAGTCTCCATGCGACGCGGAAATCTGCACTCGACTCCTTGTTAAGTTGGATCAAGATCCAGATTTGACATTGAAATCTCTGGTAGGCGAATGAAAACGGTTGATTAATTTGAAACGCGACACCGTTATGGTTGAGCAGAGTCACCCCATCATTGCCGATATTATTCATGCCCTGCAAAAAGCAGGAAATGCTGGCTCGAACAAGCCGTTCAACAGAACGCCGAACAAGCCGCCTACACCTTGTTGCTTATGTGGTGAATGGCATTTAGCACGATACTGTCCAGTCTAGCGTCACATTTGTGATAAGTGCCATAAACGCGGCCACAAGGAAGACGTCTGCCATCAGTCCCGGCCAAGAAACGTGAAGCAGTCCTACCGAAAGAAGAACTTCAGGAAGCCTGACGCAGAATGACTATCGGTGATTGCCACGTTTCACAGCGGTTTTAGAACACGCCGTCGATTTATCACTGTGCTTATCAACGGAATCCCAGCCAGGCTGCTGTTCGATACGGCATCAGATATAACGATCATTTCCAAGAACACTTGGAAACACATAAAGAGGCCGAAGATGGTTGATTTCAACGAAGTCGCTCACAACGCATCCGGTAGAGTGCTGAAGCAGGTTGGAGAAATAACTTGCAAAATTGCATTCAACGGAGTGAAGCTGGCCGGAACCTGCTACTTGTCTGACCGACCAGACTTAAACCTCCCTGGGCTTAACTGGATGGAAAAGTTGCAACTGTTTGATGCTCCAACGAGTCAGATTTGTAATACAGTTCAAACCGATCCAGTCCACGCATCATTGTCGATAGCAGACATGAAAAGAAAGCTAAAGCAGAAGTTAGCCGCCTTGTTTGAAGATGGTCTCAGTCACTGCACTAATTTCAAAGCAAAGTTGTTCCTTCGCGAAGAAACCAAGCCAGTCTTCAGAGTAAAAAGACCGATACCGTATGCAGCCATGGTAGCAGTTGATCAGGAGCTCGACCGACTGGAGCGAGCCGGTGTCATCACACCAGTGAACTACTCTTCATGGGTTGCGCCGATTGTTGCTGTGAAAAAGCCGAACGGTAAAGTGCGTTTTTGCGCTCATTTTTCGACTGGCCTGAATGCCGCACTGGACGACCATCAACACGCCCTCCCGATTCCAGAGGATATCTTTGCCAAGCTGATTGGTGGAAAGTGTTTTGCCAAGCTCGACTTGTCCGATGCCTACCTCCAGGTCGAGGTTGATGTAAGCTCGAGAGAATTGCTGACCAGCAACACTCATTGTGGCTTGTACCACTACAACCGCTGCCTTTTTTGGAGGGAAAACAGCACCAGCCATGCTCGTGGGAGTTTCTGGAGCCGTGGCATACCTAGACGACATCATTTTTAATGGGTCGGACGGCAGAAGAACTATTTGAGCGGCTCCCTGAAGTGCTTGAACGCATCCAGTCATATGGTCTTAGTATTCGTGAAGACAAGTGTACATATTTTACACCAATCATCAAGTTTCTCGGCTTCATTTTCGCAGAAGACGGCCGTCGCCCTGATCCATAAAATATCCGAGCTATTCAAAAGATGGCCCCACCTGCGGACTTGCAACCGCTTAATCAGTCATTACACCGCTTTGCTGCCCGAACTCCATCGCCTGCCTGTCCCGCTGAACAATTTGCTGAGCAAGGGCCAAACCTGGAATTGGACGCCAAAAGGCTAGACTGCGTTCGAGCGGGTCAAGTCATTGTTGGCTTCAGACCTACTCCTGACTCACTTTGACCAATCCCGAGAAATTGTCTTTGCCACAGACGCGTCGAGTCTAGGGATCGGTGACGTAGTTTCCCATACGTTCGCAGATGGGTCTTAGAAGGCAATCGCACATGCCGCTAGGACGCTGACGAAAGCCGAAAGAAACTACAGTCAGATCGAGTAGGAGGCATTGGTCATAGTGTTTGCTGTGAAGAAATTTCACAAGATGCTGTATGGTCGCCGCTTCAAACTTTTGACGGATCAAAAGTCGCTGCTGGCCATTTTCGAATCGAAGAAGGGAATTCCTGCCTATACAGCCAATCGACTCCAACGATGGGCACTCACCTTGCTGGGCTATGATTTTGAAATCCGTTATCAGTCAACGGTTTCGATGGACCAGGCAGATGCGCTGTCGCGCCTCTTTGATTCCCAGCAGCAAGAACACGAGGACACCATCATAGCCTCAGTTGAGTTCGAACCTGATATCAAATTCCTGGTGAGCGAGGCATTATTTGGGCTGCCAGTTACGGCCGAAGCTGTGCGGGCCGAAACGCCTCGAGATCCAATCCTGAAGACGGATACACACTTCCACAGAACCAGCTGGCCAAGTTCGTGTTCATCTGCTGAAACGCAGCAATTCTATCAGCGAAGACATTCGCGTTCCAAGGTGAACGATTGCGTCATGTTCTCAGAGAGAGTAGTCATCCCGCAGGCTTTGCAAGAAAAAGTGCTGCGGCCGTTCCATGCAGAACATTCAGGACTCGACGGAATGAAGGCGCTTGCCCGAAGTTGTGTATTGGCCATTTATGGACAGATAGCTGGAGCAGCTAGCTAGAAGTTGTGGCAACAGCGCTACCACTTCAAGGGCACCGCCGAAGAGTAAACTGCACTCGTGGCTTGAACCAACTAAACGTTGGAGCCGTGTTCATGTCGGCTTTGCAGGCCCAAGGAATGGTCAGAACTCTCTCATAGTGGTCGAGGTTTACAACAAGTGACCCTAAGTGTCCCTCATGAGCAGCACGAAAACCAGCGCAACAGTCTCGAGGTTGCGACAAATCTTCAGCAGGTTGGGCTGTCCTGAAACATTGGGGACGGACAATGGAGCACAGATTACTTTGACCACATTCACGGAGTTCTGCAAACGCTG